GCCCGCCAATCACCAGATGGGGCAGGGGGGCTGCAAGCCTCCCCGCGTCTCTCAGCAAGCATCGGGGGCTAGCCAGTCGACCCAGGCTGCCTCCGATGTAGTTCGTGCGTCGACGTCGTCGCCCATGGAGGAGGCTGTAGAGACGATCCAGTAATGGATCGGGTCTCCAGCCTCCTGGTCCAGACGAACCTGAACCACTGTGCCGCGGCGCAGGATCTCTTCCTGCAAACCATGGCACAGTGGTCGATAGGTGTTGCCGTAGTCGCGGAGCCCTATTCTGTCCCTCCCCGTCCAAACTGGATGGGTGACTGGGACGGCTCCGTGGCAGTCGTCGGTTCCACGACGGCTCATTCCCCGCCCTTGTCGCTAAGAGACAAGGGCCCTGGATATGTTGCTGTCGAGTGGGGGGGGATCACCATATATGGTGTCTATTTCTCCCCCAACCGGAGTTTGAACGACTTCGAGGTTTTCCTAACCAGCTTGGAGACCTCGATACGGCGACTAGCGTCTGAGCACGTCCTTGTGCTGGGGGACTTCAACGCAAAGTCCATTGCGTGGGGTTCCCCCAGGACGGACGCCAGGGGCGAGGCCGTAGAGGAGTGGGCGGCCTCGGTGGGCCTCTGTCTTCTAAACAGAGGCTCCACCAACACGTGCGTGCGACAGCAGGGGGGGTCGATAGTGGACCTCTCGTTCGCTACCCCTGCCCTCGCCGCACGAGTAAGGAACTGGCGTGTCCTGGAAGAGGTTGAGACGCTCTCGGATCACCTGTATATCCGATTTGAGCTCTCCCGGACCCAGGACTCCAGTAGGGGTCACGTGGCGCGGCGTTTATCCCGCTTTCCGCGGTGGGCTGTTGCCAGGCTGAACCGGGACCTACTAGAGGAGGCAGCCATAATTCACTCGTGGCTGTCTCCTCAGGCTCCGACCGAGGAGGTCGACGTGGGGGCTGGCCGCTTTCGCGATGCGATTACGCATGTATGCGATGCGGCCATGCCCCGCGTTCGAGGTCGTCGGCCTCCAAGGAAGGAGGTCTACTGGTGGTCCCAGGAGCTGGCGGACCTCCGTGCGGCCTGTACACGTGCCCGGAGGTCCTACACGCGCAGTCGGCGGCGTCACCGTGGAGACGGTGAGGAGGACCGGCTTCATGAGGAGTACCGACGGGCGCGGAAAACTCTGAAGCTGGCCATTAGCCGCGCCAAAGAGGAAAAAAGACAGGAGATGCTGGAGGGTCTTAATCGTGACCCCTGGGGTCGCCCTTACCGCGCGGTGCGACAAAAGCTCCGCGCGTCGGGCCCCCCCCTTACGGAGACTCTCCAGCCCAGCTTCCTGCGAGAAGTGGTTGAGGGCCTTTTCCCACAACGAGCGGAACACACTCCCCCGTCGATGGCCTCCCTGGCCGGAGACGACGGGGAGCACGGGGAGGACAATGTTCCGCCCGTCCGGGATTCGGAGGTAGGGGCGGCTGTTCTACGGATCCGTTCCAAGAACACCGCCCCTGGGCCAGACGGGGTACTGGCCCGAGTGCTGGCCCTGGCCCTCAACCACATGGCAGACCGCCTCGGGGAGGTGTTCGACGCTAGCTTGGCGTCGGGACGCTTCCCTGAGTGCTGGAAAAGCGGGAAGCTGGTCCTATTGAGGAAGCCGGGACGGCCAGCCGATTCGGTCGCGGCCTATAGGCCCATCGTGCTGCTGGACGAGGCGGGCAAATTGTTTGAGAGGGTTCTTTCTGCCCGCATCGTCCGGCACCTCTGCGAGGTGGGCCCCGATCTGTCGGACGCCCAATTTGGTTTTCGGGCGGGGCGTTCGACAGTCGACGCCGTGTTGCGCCTGAGGGCCGTGACCGAAGAGGCCGTGAGCTGTGGCGGCGTGCTGTTGGCGGTGTCATTGGACATCGCCAACGCATTCAATAGTCTGCCATTCAGCTGCATCAGGGAAGCACTCCACTATCATGGGGTGCCAAAGTACCTGAGGCGGCTAGTGGCAGACTATTTAGAGGAGCGTACCGTCGTGTACGAGGACCGAGAAGGTAATCTGAGGTGTCGGCCCATGTCGTGCGGTGTTCCACAGGGGTCTGTTCTTGGACCCCTCTTGTGGAACATAGGGTACGACTGGGCCCTTCGCGCCGATTTCCCCCCCGGGCAGGGTGTAATCTGTTACGCAGACGATACCCTCGTGACAGCCCGGGGGGCAAACTTCCAAGAGGCGGCGCGCCTGGCCACAGGGGGAGTCTCCCTGGTGGTCGGGCGCATTGAGGCGCTGGGCTTACGGGTGGCCCTAGATAAGACGGAGGCCCTGTTATTCCATGGGCCCCGTCGTGGTCCACCCCCTGGCGCCTCAATCGTGGTCAACTCGGTCCTCGTACCGGTTCGGGCCCAGATGAAATATCTGGGCCTGATCCTCGACGGGAGGTGGCTCTTCGACGAGCACTTCCGACAGCTTGCTCCAAAGCTGGTCGGCGCTGCGTCTGCCCTAGGGCGACTTTTGCCCAATATGGGTGGACCCAGCGTCGCGACAAGACGGCTGTACACGGGGGTTGTCCGGTCGATGGCACTGTACGGTGCACCGGTGTGGGCGGCGGCTCTGACCGCCCAGAATAGGGTACGCCTCTGGCGCCCTCAGAGGGTAATGGCGGTCAGAGCCATACGCGGTTACCGCACCGTTTCGACGGAGGTGGCGTGCGCGTTGGCCGGAACTCCCCCGTGGGATTTGGAGGCGGAAGTGCTCGCCGAAGTTTATCGGCGAGTGGCTGACTACCGGGCGGAGAGCGGATTTCGCCCTCCGCCCGAGGATGTGCGCGAGTGGCGCGAAGCCGCTCGCCGAGCCACGATGGCTCGTTGGTCGTTCCGGCTGGAGACTCCACGCGCTGGCTTCGCCGCCGTGGAGGCTCTCCAGCCGGTCATCGCCGAGTGGGCAGGGCGGCAGCACGGGACCCTTTCCTTCCGACTGACGCAGGTGCTTTCCGGGCACGGTTGCTTCGGAAAGTACCTGCACACGGTCGCTAGGAGGGAACTGAGTCCCGCCTGCCACCACTGCGACTGCAGTGAGGACTCGGCCCAGCACACGCTGGCGGTCTGCCCCGCATGGGCGGCGCAGCGCCGGGCCCTCACTGCAGTCATCGGAGTGGATCTCTCGCTACCGGCCGTAGTACGCTCCATGGCCGGTAGCGACAGTTGTTTTACCGCGGTCGCAACCTTCTGCGAGGTAGTAATCTCGCGGAAGGAGGCGGCGGAGAGGGCCCGGGAGGACGACCTCCACTCGGACCCGATCCGCCGCCGGCGAACCGGGCGGCGGAGGCCCGGCTATCACAGCCTCATGCCGCCCTGAGTGTGGCCGCGGGTGGACGGGGTGGGTTTCCCCTCCACCCGCATTAGTTGGCCAGCCGCGAGGGGGCGGCGTCCGCGTGTGCCGGACGTCGCCTATAAAGAGAGGAAAAACATCGAGACGGAGCCCGCACCAGGAGCGGGCTGGCGCTAGGAGGGGTCCGGATGTCTTAACAACAGCTGTTCCCGGATCCCTCCTGTTACAGGCGCAGAGTGGCACACCGTGTGGTTTTAGTCGGTCCGAGTCCGACACACCACCCCGCCGCAAACCCCGGAGGGGTGACGGTCCGAGGGGATTTCCACACGTTAAAAAAAAAAAAAAAAAAGGATGTTTCAAGTTTTCCGTGTTTTTTGCAGTGTTGTTGCCCTGCCTAGTTTGCTCTCTTAGTGTTACGACACCCACGGGATGAATAGGGGTGGTGAAGTTCCGTATTCTTAATCCGTCACCACACGGCACAACATATTGGACTTATGAAAATCAAACCAATTTATTGGTTGTTGTAGCAAAACTCGTGGAAGGCCTATGTCTAGCAGTGGACTTTTATCGGCTGAGAAGAAGAATGAAAAATCAATAGAGCTCAAATGGTATACACTATCATTTTGGTCCCATTCAAATTAAAAGTGGAAAAAATAATGAAGAGTACAGTTTATTGAAGCCGGTTTTACTTATTTAAAAGTTAATTATAATGAAACCTATTAAATTATTCGCTATCTAGACTTAATGACTTTGTTGCCTTGATGATAGACTATAATTTCCATTCATTCATAAATTGTCGTCTACATTGTTTTATGGTATAACGTCTTTGTTTCAAGTTTCCTTCTTTTTGCAGTTCTGTTATTCTCTGTAGTTTGCTCCCTTAGTCGGCTCTCACGATAGCCACGGGATGAATAAGGGAGGCGATACTCCATATTCTTATAATTTCTCATAAATATTCGTAATATTAATTTTAATATATTAATTATTTTATAATATTCGTTGTATTCGTAACCTCCTTTCTAAGGAGAGGCCTATGTACAGCAGTGGACTAGTATAGGCTGTTGATGTGATGTGATTCTATCTAGTATATATATATATATATACTAGATATCACATTTTTACGCTCTTGCTGAATCCCCTGACCCTAGGGGATTGTACAACACTCACTATTCCACTCCGATCCCCTGTGCTGGGGACTCAACAAGTACTAATTAATTTATTCCCTTTTAGTCCCCTCTAAAAATAATAAAACATAAACTTACTTTCACACTCTTTGTAAACCAAAAACAAAAGGTTGATTAAATATCAACAATAAATATAATCAATATAGTAATATAGTTTAATTTATTTAAACATTTGTATCTTATAATGACCGACTGTGATAATTGCGTTTAAACGGCCCGGGGTCCGTCGGAGCACTAGGGATTTCCTTCCTAGACTACACCTGGTACACCGTGGTATCCGATGGAACTTCCGCACAGAAAAAAAAAAGGGGATCGGAGTGGAATGTTGAGTGTAGTGCAATCCCCTGGGGGATCGAGTGGAATAGTTAGTGTTGTACAATCTCCTGGGGGATTGAGTTAGGGGATTCAAATGGAAAGAGCCCATTTTCATACGTTTGTCATGTCCGACAGTTTCAGTGGTCTATGGGCGACTGAAGGACGGTCAGTGACCCGTCCTTTGCACACCATAAAATTTCTTACCTATATTTCTTACACCTCTGTTTTTTCACCTCACACGACAGGTCCCACCTGCTAGAATGTATCACTTTGAATTTACTCATGAACTGATCTGAAGGGTTGGGTAGCCATTCGGCTAGTTGAACGCCATATCTGGAAACAGAAAGAGGACTTAAGAATTTTCCGGCAAGAGCCAGTTAGAGTTACTGGTTTGCAATCCTGACCTTCACAGGGGCATGAAATGGCATAAGACACTAAATTTGACACTCAGTCACCTCAGAAGAAATAATCGTGTTCATCACACAAAATTTGTCCAGGATGGGAATCGAATCTAAGACCTCTGGCTTAGTAGTCAGGACCACTAATCACTAGACCAACAGGCCCGTTACTTTTCTTTATCATAATTATTTTAATGCATGTGACACAAGCATTGGATATTTGATCTCCTTCCTTGATAGAGCGGTCGTGGTCACATTGAGATGTGATCTCCCGCCATCTCTCCCTATTGGCAGACTGTCGAATACAGTCAGATCAGATCTCACCTGGTCGGTCCAACGCATTGGTGCCCTGCCGCGACATCTGGTTCCTTCGTTCATGCGGTTCGGTTCGTCCCTGCACTAAAAGTCGCTCTATGGAGTCGCTATTCCGCCGAAGACATGGCCGATATAACGATAGTCAAATAGTACCATATAAACTCACAACATTATTTTACCGGTTACCGGAGCTCAAATTGCCTTGCAACGCACCTGTGACTCTTAAGCTGCAGGTGTTCATGGTCGGTGTTAGTCACTTACCATCACCCATCTGCTAGTTTGCCACCACTACCATAAAAGCCATTATATATTTAAATATAGCAAAATACTACCCGTGTGTTGACAGATTTAGAATACGGAGTGTCACCACCCCTATTCATCGCGCGGGTGTCGTAACCAACAACCAACTAAGGAAGCAAACTATGCAAACTAAACAGCACTTAAAAGAGCAGGAAAACTTGAGACAAACCCTGTATAAAAACCGTGTGGCCAGCGTGTTATAATAGGCCAAAACCTCTTTTCTAAGGAGAGGCCTGTGTCCAGTAGTGGAGTATTAAAGGCTGTTGATGATGATGATGAAATATTATTTTCTTTACTCTCGAATTTTGGTGGATTCGGCACATCAATACTAAGCACTACGGTTTGCAGCATGTACTTAGTTAAAATTAAATTGAATACCTTTCCCAATTCTTCGCTTCATTGTACTTAGCTAGATGCATAGAATACCATATTATAGGTAACTTTGGTAGAAACCCTTTGTTGGCTATCCTCAGTCTTTCTAAAGCCTTCTCAAGGAAACCTTGTCTCTCTTCAATCAAAAAGAAACAGTTCACCATGGAAGCAAGACTATCACTGAGATGAAAAATATCATCCACTCCAGTCATCTGAATTATTTCACTGTAAATCGTTTGAAGAACATCCATTATAGATTCTCTCATGGTTAATCTTAGACAAAGCACATTGTTGCAAGAATAATTCGAGGTTTTTGTTGGACAAGAAGCGTCAGGAGACCAAGACCATGCTCTACCAACAGGCCCTGGAGCTGCTATCTCAATCAAAACTCTTATACCACGTATTCCAGCTCTTTTTACTAAAGCTTGGACATTTTCTTTTGTATAAATCATATTCCTACTGAAAGCTCCGTATTGTGAGAGTTGTGGGATCGTAGGAATATGCAAAGGAAAGCTGGTGGCATCAGAAATACGCCAGTGGAACGTGTTTAATTTACATGCCGACATCGCGTCTATAGTTCTCATCAAATCTGGCACCGGAATGTAATTCCTTCCAGTATCGATCATCAGGCCCCTGTATCTGTAACTTGGTGCATCTTTCACGATGATATGATCGACAGTGATTAAGTATCCTGAAGTTTCGTCTAGTAGAATCATTTGGCTCAATGTCTCCAGTCCATGTCTGACACCACAAAACGAAGGAGACGCTATCCGTATCATAGCAACGTTATTAACTATATCAAGCTTCAGGCTGTAGGATTCGTCGGTGTCTACTTTAACTCTTGGATCTGCATCAGATTCAACATCAAGTTGTATATTCATTTTCTTTATTTGCAAATCTTTGGTTGAATTTTCGTTTTTGGGTTTAGCGTCAAACTTTTCCAGCTTTGCCAGATCGCCGATAAATAATTTGAATGCTTCGGCTAAATATGAATGTACTGCTTCGGATGGTACAGATTGGAATTTGTATTCAAGTTTACTTGTTGCTAAAGCTATGAGATTTCGACTGTATAAAGTAAATCCGATGGGGTATGGCCACAACTGTGGTCCCATGCACTGCAGTACACATCTGCTCAGAGAGAGGTAGATTTCTTCATAGGTAGGTACGTATACTTTTTGACAAAGGTTGTTCTTGCAAATAAATGAATTGGGATAGTAGATCCTGAAAATAACTGAATTATCAGTATCCATTCCAATTCGTAGAAAGGGAGATATCTCTTTTTATCTCGTCTTTAAAGGGTATTTATTTTAAATTGAAAAAAAATGCTGTTTCTTTTGAAGAATTTAAACGTATAAATACTGAAATATGACAAATGAAACATAAAAACAATGAAACTAAAAGTATGTAAAAAGAAATCAATGAAATCTGTCTAACATCTCCATTTCCTGTGCTTTAAGAAATAAATCGTCATGACTTTGCTAGCTTTGGCTACCAGGAATCACAGGTTATGACTGCGACATTTTTTTTATTTTTGTTGAATAGGCTTATTACTTTTCACAAAGTGCATCTATGATCTATTCCAGTAAAAAATTTAGGCCTTCAGGGGTCATACCCGAGGACTTCTTTAAGGGTAGCTTTCAAATTGATAATTTAACAGTATTTATAATTTTAAAGAAATATTATTTACCTGTTCTCGTCTCTTAATTTTCGAATATTTGGCGCCTTCTTTGCTGATGGTGGATTTTCTTTTTTTTGCATCGACAGCAAAGATAAAACCACAGCAATGAAAACAGAAGTTAATATTATGATTATAAGTAAATATATCATTTCTTTACTGTACAAGAAAGACCTGTAACAAACTGTTATGTTTAGTGATTTACGTGTTTGATCAATCTTTTTACAAAGTCGAAATCACAAAATTTTAATGGTTTCTTTAATTTCAGTGTCCACCATAACTTGTACTTTCTTTCTAAAGACTTTTGTACCATGGCAGGTCAAAATATATACCTCAATAGTTTAACTCAGCAATTTTTACCCTTATAAATCAGATTGTTCAAAAATTGTTATAGCTTTTTGTACTTCTTCTATTTATGAACAATAAGTATTGAAAATGTAACAGGCTTCAAAACAGTATAAAAATATAGTGGCAAAATTTTTGATTATAACAGGATTTTTTTTTGTTTTTTCGAATCGGAAAGTTCCTTAATGAATATATATGTATGTTGTACGTATATATACAATATATATTTATATTATACATAGTTATATTATCAATGTATTTCACCTCAAACTCAACTCTCGTGTAAACAGGGCCAATATATGTAGTAATTATATACAGAGGTGTCGGTAATGGTAAAATTGTCGCGAGTTCAATGGTTTTTTCGTATCTCAAAAAATACACTCTTTGTTTATTGTTTAAAAAATGCCATACGCTCCTAAAGAAGTTTTCACTTCAAAATCCTGTCCTAGGTGGGAATGGGTGGATGGTGGGTCTTAGATTTCGTAATCAGAATCACTAAACATTAGATCATTAGATGTGTTTGTGTTGTGACTAATAAACGTCTTTTCTTTCTTTCTTTCTTTCTTTCTATCAACATGCCTGTGTAATAGGTACATGCTATGGAGATGGAAAATCCATAAGAATGAAACAGTACTTGTAACCCGACGACAATTCTTTCATCTTCTTTTCTTTCTTCTTCAAGCATTTACTCGTTAATTCCCCAGAATCTCCACAAGCAACCCCTACATGAGCACATCTGCTGCAAGAGCATGAAGCTATGCAACGAAATTCTGTAAATTATAAGATTTCTAGATGAGGCTGTTTCGAATACGGTTGTTTATGTGATAATCATTTTACGTGTCAAAGATTCAGTCAGTGAGAAGGCTCGAACTTCCCGGCAATATCCAGTTCAAGACTGACCTTTTCGACTTATTGCTTCATCATCATCATCAGCCTATCCCAGTCTACTGCTAGACATAGGCCTCTCCCATTGCACGCCCCAACTAGTTGACGGCAATATAATGGTCTACTCCTATGTAAGTGGGACTAAAATATCATCATCAAGCTTTTAATGATCCACTGCTGGACAGAGGCCTCTCCGTAGCAAGGAGGTTTTAAGACACGCCTCTGAAGGGTGGCAACACACTTGTTCAGTTGCAGTTGTTACACTCAATTACTTCATAATCATCATCAACATCCTTTAGCAGTTCATCGCTGGGCATAGGCCTCTCCTCAGAAAGGTGGTTTTGGCCTACTATACCACGTTGGCCAGACGGGTTAGCATAGAGTTTGTGTTAAGATTTCCTTTTCTTTGTAGTGCTGTTGTCCCGCGTAGTCTGCTCCCTTAGTTGGCTCTTACGACACCCACGGGATGAATAGAGGTGATGACACTCCGTTTTATTAATTCGACACAACATGGATAAATTATACGATATATAAATTTAAATAATACGGACTAAATTATAAATCGGTGAAATGTGGGCCTAAGTTAGCTATTATTAATTTTTCGTCAACTTGATTTGTTTTTAAGTTATTGTAGGGCAAACGACCAGAATTATCACCTGATGGTACATAAATCCTGCCACCCATGGAAACCTACATGCAATTCAAGAGTCTCAAGTGTCCCAGAATCAGATGGGGTTTGGGTTCCGGTATCCTCACCTACTCAGTGGAAAGTAACGTAACTTAATTTAATTTGTAGAAACGGAGCAGTGGTAAAGCTCCGTGCAGTTTGATTCAGTTATATTATTGGTTTAAAGAAATGGATGAAATTGCAGGGAATTTTTTGCAATTAGATTAAAAATGTACTTACTATCAGATGACTTTGTACCAAGGCAAAAATTCTTTGTCCCTTCAAGGTTCATTAGAGTATCATATTTTTCAGATGCTTTATCTGGAATGGTATCGGTTTTGGAACTAGTACTATAATTCATTTCATAATCAACATCAGTACATGATGACGTTTCTGTCACAGCTGATGGCAGAACGGTGATTGAAGATTTGAATTTTATATTCTTCCTTTGTGATGCTTCAGAACCTAAGGATATCTTAGAAGAAGCTCTTAGTGTGGAGTTTGAAGGATAACAAGATTCCCCGGAGGCATTAGCCATGGGTTTCTCGGGAAGCACCTTCAAAGGTGGTTTCTTTTTGTTTTTCTTTGTTCCTTTTGTCATTGCTTCGCAGGCGTCTAAAAAAATATGTTTTAATTAGCTCTAGATCAATCTAGCCAAGAAATCTCAAATAAAAGAATTGAAATTTTAGTTAATAAATTTAACGCAATACGAAATCAAAAGCTTTCGACAAATCCATATTTTAGTTTTTCGATTCCAAAATTGCATCACACATGCAAACTATTGGAAGTTTTGACCACTAACAGCTAGACAAATTAACAAAATATTGTCAAAGTCATTAACTGTAATCATAGACATATTACATTGATAGCAGAAATATATGTAATTGATTTGTTGTAAAATGATTTCCTTTATTGTGAAATATTTGTAAAGAGATTGAAATTTTAGGATCTAAAAATTTAACCACGTTTTGTGTTTGATACCAATGTCAGTGTTTATAAGTGCATACCTATACCATACTGCTAGGTTAATGAAAATAAGATAATAATTAAGAATAAGTAAAATAAGTTGACTTATACACGATGATATGCTCACGAATAGGGAACTACAAATTTTTGAATATCGCCTTTAGTTCTACGAGTATATAGGATTTACTTTAATGAGTGTGCGAAAACTCTCTTCGAATGCAGTGAACTCTCACCAATCTCCATCGGATTACTACACAGAGGTTTCCTATTTCTATGTCAAAACATTCAAAAGTCGAAATAAGCATGTTTATAATTCGTTTTCGGTTCAAATTGTTAATTTTTTTCAGACAATTTTAATTGTAGAACGTGTAAGAGTAGATTTAGTAGGTAGGTTCTCCTTCTTTATCGTTCAACTGGTTAGTTGATAAACAAACATCTATTTCAGTAGTGGATGATACCCGAGATAGTAGAATGATGGGTTCTAGTTCTTTATTATTGTTACTATCTTCAAGCAGGTATCTAACTATCCTATTCTAGCTTACCACCATACCTTTGATAGCACATTCTACATTATTAAATGTAACTTCCATGTCGGTAAGTCTCTCACAAAATTTGAGAATCAACTCTTGTTCTGTCTTTTCGAGGTAAGAGCAGATATCACTGTCGACTTGGCCATTAATTGAACTGACGCAACAATGGTATAAAAGAACAGAGGTTTGGATGTACAGCCTTTTGTAGAATTCCTTTTCTTCACAGAAGTAACTGTGAAAAGGATATAGAATTTAAATGTGTAGTGTGTAGAATATTTTTTCATGGAATAGGAGTACAAAGGAGTAGATGGGTCACCTGATGGTAAGAAACCAACACCGCCCATGGACACCTGCAACTTAAGAGTCTTAAGTGAATTCTCCTCTCAGAATCTGGGAGGAGGAGTTTGTTACCGAAGCCCAAATCACTCGATGAAAACCATCGAATTTTTTTTTTTTTAAAAGACAACTCCCGCATTAGAAATATATCTTTGTCGCGGGGGACTTTACACTCGGAACAAAAATTTGTGGATCACACAAAGTGTCGTCCCATGCGGGGATCGGACCCACAACACTCAGCGTAGTAGTAAGCGGAGTGGCGACCGCTTAAACCACTGTGCCATCCGTGCAGTGCTCCATAAGTTGCTAAATGCCTTTTATTATTCTTTCATTTATACTGAAGTCCTCCGTCGTAAATTATTTCTACTACATGCTTTTTAATGAAGGGCTTTCAAATCTTTAATCAAGACAAGGTTCAGCAAGGGGCAGCAAGGTTCTCCAATGGAGACCACGTACTGGAAAGCGCAGTGTGGGACGACCGCTTACCCAATGGACGGACGACCTGGTAAAGGTTGCCGGAAACCGTTGGATGCAGGCCGCAATCAACCGTCCCCGCTGGAAATAATTGGGAGAGGCCTATGTCCAGCAGTGGACAAGCATAGGCGGAGGTATAAGCAAGACAAACAGTAAACTAGTCAAGATTGCCATTAAGGAAACCAAGAACTAAAAAGAATTGTTTGGTAAGATGTAAAGGATACCCCTTTAAGGTTACATCAATTCACCCAGTCAGATACAGAACAAACGAATGAAATTGCATCTAAGAGTCACTATTTGCTATTCTTATAACCTTGTTAATATTATTTACCTTAATCTTAATATTGGATATTTCAACTTGAGAAATGGCTCCAGGTCTTCAGAGTTAAGATAAGCTCTTTCCAGGTCATCAGAACAAATATCATCTTTGTACTTATTCGTTACCTCAATGAGGCTTCTATTGCTTAGTCTGGTTACTGTGGGTTTACCATACACGCATTTGTTTAGCTGTAAAAGAAAATATGCCTTGAAATTATCGGATACTTCGCTTTAAGGCTTTGGCTTCGCAAGGCGAAGAATCTTGCAAGTCACAATTTTGATTTTTGATCGAAGTACATTTTTGATTTCTTTTATGCATTATGTTTCTGCCTAAGCATTTGTGTGGTCGTTTCTCTGTTTCTAACTACTTCTCTTTTTCTTTTAAATTTTAAAAGAAAAACTTAAGTTGGCATTAAAGTTAAATTTTAATCAGTTAAGTTAGTTAAGTTTCATCATACAATCAATCGTTGGATTTGCCATAACTGGAACTGGAGAGGAGGAAGCTCACTGTATTTTGGTAGAACATTGCAATTGTTCCAGCGATGGTGGTTCTTAGTTACATGCAAAGTTCTTACAACATGGCATAGGGATGGCGAAGACATCTAGTTATTCTAAAATCGAATCTTGTATGCACCAGTTGACAATTACAATGTGTCTCAAACTCTCTGTTCAGACACTGTCCTGGGATCTGCAACTGGCCTTACCTCATACATTGATAAATCTACGTTGTCTATCTGTTCACAAGCCGGAACTTTCTCATTTCGTGAAGCTACATGAGAATACATTTCGTCGTCGTACACCATCGCTGCCGTCTCAAGTCAAATCGATCTCTTCACCGGATTCATAAATCCCCACTTCATGCGTATCTACACAGTTCTCAAGCTATGTCTCCCAGGATTGTTCGGTCTATTAAAAGATTAATAAATTCATAATCATCACACGCACCTACGCGTAACGTAAGATTAACATTGATTATTGTGAAATATCTCCAATATACTAAGGAAATCGCCAGACTGAACTTCTGTACCTCTTTATCCCCTAGTCAGGCACTCAAGTTATCATTGAAGATTAGCAAATACGCTTATGTGTATCTACTTTGTCATGAAAATTGACTAACCCATCTTAAAAGAAGCTGTGTCCACCTTCTTTCGAAGAGTTCCAATTTACAATCTGAACAGGATGTAGTGGTTGTGGTTAGAGAAACATCGGCAGAATAAGTCGACATTGTTAATATAAAATAAAGTAAAATGTATTCAAAAAAATAGGGATTAATGATATGTTCTGTGTGTCAGTGTCACTATGGCATATATATATCGTCATAGTTTAGCGTTCCGTTAAACCATTCTTATTTTTCTAAATAAATCTTCTTTATAAGCAAGTTATATTTTTGGCTTCGATCAAATCTTGCTGAAACAGCACTAGCTGATTATTATAGTAGCATCAAAAGATTTAGACGTACCACAATTCAAATTAATTTCAGAAAAGTCATAATAGTCACGCAAAATAATCTGATATATATTATGTAATATAAATATCAAATCACAGTAAATAACATGATCAAATAATAATTAATAAAGACGAATCAAACTAAAATAAAATAAAAAAACTAATATCAAATCAAGTAATTCCCGATAATTAAAATCAGAACCCAATTGTCTTTTTTAAACGATTTAATAAGAATCCCTAAATCAGACGGGCCTGTTGGTCTAGTGGTTAGTGATTCTGTCTGCTAAGTCGGAGGTCGTGGGTTCGATCGCCACCTAGGACAAATAATTATGTGATGAGCACGGAGATTTATTCTGTGAAATTTATCTATGATATGTATATATTTAGTGATATATTAGTATGTTTATCAGCAGTCTGGTTCCCATAGCACAGGCTTCAGGTTTGGAACCAAACGACCGTGTAAGTTAAAAAAAGTTTTTAGTGAAGTTACCAGAGCCAAACCCTTCCTCCGCCTAATTCTGAGTTGAGCCTGACTCTTGAATTGCTGGTATCCTTTCCATGTGGGGCGGTACTTACTTACCATTAGGTAATCCCTCTGCTAGTTTGCCAAATCTATATACAATACGTAAGTAAAATTATTTTGTATTTGTGGAAGAAAAACGGTTAATTAAACTATATCGATTCGGTATATTTTTTGACATCTCATGTTACAAAAGTAGCCTGGATTGGCTCGCCTAGCCAAAGGTTGGTCAGAGCTTACAATGGTCTGTCTAAATGCAGAAACAGAGGACCCCACCAATTCTAATACCACGCTTATTAAAAATATTATTGTCACATCATCATCACAGGCCTCCCCTAAGAAAGGAGGTTTTGGCCTACTATATAGGTTTGTGTTAAGTTTCCCTTCTTTTGTATATTATATATTAATATTATTGTATTGTTTATAAATTTACTTAGATGCTTATTTGGTGAAAATAAATTTTAAATCGCTTTGGCAGCATTTATATGCTGGAGCAATAATACGGCCCTGTAGCACTCCTGACGCTATATATCTAAGTTTTCAGAAGAGTTCTACGCAATCCGCAATCAGAAGCTTTTGACAAATCCACTTTTTCCAGTCAATTGCATAACACATATCAACTATTGGATGTTTTTATCACTAATAGCTAGACAAATTAAAACAAAATTGACAAAATCATTAACTGTAATTTTGGTTATATTTACATTCATTAGTACTCGTAGGTATTAAAAGTTTTTAATGTTATTTATTTGTTGTAAAATGATTTCCTATATTGTGAAATTATTTGTAACGATTTAAATAGGATTGATATTAATAATATTAATTTGTTTTAGAACCTGTCATTTAAAATGATCGGTGATGGCTCATTAGAGCTTAATGGTATCATAACTGCATTGTTAACGTTGACTAATTCCAATGCCTATAAAATATTTGTTTTGCTGATTTTAAGGTTGGACTAAGAAAGTGTAGTTGTAGTTTCAATACGAGTATCAATGAACTTTTTATTTGTCTCATCTATAATAATAATACTATGTGTATTTGAAGGCGCTATTCTCAGAAACTGCTTATTGGAATTTCTTTTTTTCTTTACACTCACTTCTTACCCCTAGAATGTAGACGTCAAATAAATGACGTCTGCTTTTTATTAAAGATTGCGAACGGGTCGTTGGACTCTCCCGAGCTTGTCTCAAAAATATGCCTACGTGCCAATCCAACAAGATTCCGGCAGAGACCATTGTTAAATGTTCCTTTGGGCTCAGCAAATTACAGACGTAATTCATTTTTCTTGCGTACTGCGGTAACTTACAACAGTATTTCCTTAGACCTAGATATTGACCTATTTCATAACAGCCCCGCTGCAATAAGGCGGCGTTTGGCAAATAGATTTTTTGAATAATGGTTGACTTGCTTGGCAGTTTATCGTCATATGGTGTTGTTGTTGTTGATGTAAACATATACTCAATAATGGTTATTGTGGCAATACTGCATTTGATGTGTTCTCTTCATTGTCTGTGGAGAGAATACATAACAGTGGGTACTGTGATATACCTACTGCAAATTATATTGATATAATCAATCTAACATATTTCCCCTTATAAATTTTTGTTCTTATATTATCTTCTTTTAAGGTTTGATATTGTTTTTATGTTTTTTGTTTCTATTCACTTTCTTATACATATGTGGAGGCTTGTTATAAGCAACCTTTTTATTGATATTTTTACTTAAGCAAATTTTGTTATTAGTCTGTAAGCCTTCTTAAAATGAAATAAATAAATAAATTTAAATCTGACATCTGACACATAACGCCATCTAGATTCAAACTAAACAGATCTTGTACTATAAAAGCTAGATTAACTGATAGAATACTTATATACTTTTTTTTTTGTAAATACATTCATTTATACATAAAAAACACCCAAACGGCGAAACAAATATTTACAGATCATGGAAACATTTGGCTAACCAGGAATGGAACTCGAGACCTGAGCACAGCAGTCGCATACGCTACCACTGCACCACTGAGGCAGTCAGTCAAAAATTTGTTTTATTTTACTGTTAGATAGCTCATATCTCAGCTTAGATATGTAAAGTGTATGTATTAAAAAAAACAAACCTTCCAAGTGCGTGTGGAACCACGCCCAATGTTGGGTTCCGTAGCTACCTATCACAATAACACGATCGAATTGCTACTGCCTTGATTTTTTTTAGATCTCCAACAAATACTGCCGTTTAGCGAGGAGGGAAGTGGGGAGGGGAGGGAGAGGACACTTGACTGTAACAATAATTAATATCTCACAAACAGATACCTTAATCCAAAAATTGACATTTTTTATGGTATAAGGGGGCAAACAAGCAGACGGGACACCTGATGGTAAGCAAATACCGCCGCCCATGCACCACCACCCCACCACCTGCGGCTCAAAAGTCACAGGTGCGTTGCTGCCCTTGGAGTACCTCCTGCTGGAGTCAGCGGGAGGGGGGATTTGGGAACCTTACTCACTCAGAGAAAGGCAACGAAAGAATTGCTTAACACCGGTTTTATGTCTTCACAAACCCCTATTATTTTTAAAAAACCTATAAAATTACACAATGCATCATGGGATGCATGAATATAAAACATAACATCCGAACTTTAAAGGTACTAGAGTATCCTAAAAAAGTATTTTTCAGGATTTTATTTTACCACTTGGTCGGCGTGATTAGTGTGAATGTTCATACGAAATTACAGGTTTCTAGCACTAATAGTCTGTGAGATATAGCGTGGACAGACGGACGGACGGACAGAAAAACGAAACTACAAGGGTTCCGTTTTTGCTATTTTGGCTACGAAACCCTAAAAAGAAACAGATTAGATTACTAAAAAGTTTTTAAACTCCATCACGAAATTTGTATAAAATCTATAATCTCACAGTATACTAGAAAAATATTTGCAGAAAAAAAAACCATTGATGTCTCTGAAGAGCACAGTGAACAATAGCGTGGCCTTAGATTGCATGCTCCACTGGGTCAACATCCCGACAGACAATCTTATTATATAACCGACCGTGAAATCATCTCGCAAAAAGTGATTGTAAAGTAACAATTGGAAAAAAAATATCGGTCAAGCTCAATGTGAGGTTTGTGAGATACGTGGGACTGATAAAGAAATATTTTAATTAATAAGCACTGACGCAAGTAATAACACTTTAGGTTAAATTACACAACACAACGAATATATAGTTTTATTACACGAATATCATGTAACTTTGTGTTAACTGTTATGTAACAAAGTATAATGTGATGTAGTGCAACGTAACGTAATGTAATGTGGTGTAACATAATGTAATGTAACATTTTATATTACTAGCGATCCGCCCCGGCTGCACGGGGGCAATGTAGATACTACTAATACTACTAATGTGGTGTTAGTGTGGAGTAATTAATTATACTATTATTATGATAGGAATATTCTTAAATGCAATATTTTTAGGCCCGCTCCGATCCTGAAGGCTGATGCCACCCGAGATAGACGGCTCGACGGGGACGGCCCCCCCAATTTAAAACCTCTAATATCTTGTAAAATATTGATTTGAATGATATGTTTATTTTAATCTACATTAAATGCACAATTTATCTAGCTAACGTATTTATTTGGACATGGAATCATAATGTTATTGTTTAAAATAGCTTCATAAATAATCCTTTTTTTTTGTAATATTTAAAAAATAAAAATGGTTACTGTGGGTTATCCTTAAGAGATAGACACCGGAGACTTTTTTGTAGATCTTTTTAAGATATACAATTCGATAGTACATTATTTTGGTCTATCTCGTAACGTGTAGCGGTTGCAATGTAAGTGCACAAAACATGTTTTTTACGACAAATCTTTTTTAATCGTTTTTAGTACATATTTATGTATTATACATATGAATTAACCATCCTTTTAAATCACTCTCTCTCTCTCTCTATTGGTGAAAACCGCATTAAAATCCGTTGCTTATTTTAAAAGATCTAAGCGTAAACATAACAAAGGGACTTTATCGTATAATATGCAAGGAAGATATTCACTTCAAAATATCTTTATTTCATTAAAAAAAGGTAAAACTTATTTGAAATCGTCTTAGACTCTAAAGTCATAGAGTCATAAATATTTAGCAAAATGAATTCAATCCATTATATGCCTGTGCCGATCTACAACCGCCAGTTCCAAGGGGTTGAGCCTTATAAAAAGAGGGGGAAACAAACTCACGGCCACGCTTTTTGAATTACAGATCCAGTCG